TGAGGCCCCTGAAAAGTCAACCACACGGACCCAGGAGGCCTGAGGTCCATCCTGCTGAGCCATCAGGTAGAATTCTTAGGACTGAGACGGGAACGGGCCACTGGGTGTGGGATAGGCAGACGCTAAGGTGGCCTCTGATGAGCCTTACGTAGCCCCCTCACACGTCGTGCCAAGGTTGATCTGTATCATGGCCAATAGAAGACAGAAAAGGTGAAGCTAGATCATAAAGACATCACACTTCTGGATAAGAAGCCAGCTGCGAGGAGCCAGCTGCCATGTGGAGAGGACACTCAGGCAATCCTATGAAGTAACACACATGGAGAGGAAGTCCTTGGCCATAAGCCCTGAGAATCTGTTGCCTTGGAAATGGATCCTTCAGATGAATACAGCCACATATAACATCTTGATTCCTGATTTCAATCTCAAGAAAGACCACCAGCTAGAACTGTCAGGTTAGCTGCTCCCAGATTCCTGACCCACACAAAATATGTAAAGTAAAAAATGTTTATTGTTGTTTTAAGCTTCTGAGTGTTGGGCATATTTGTTACACAGCATGGATAACAGACACAGGGTAGTTATAGATATTCCTAGAATAGCCAGCAATTATCTTGAGAAGAAAAAATGGCTTAATATTTTCTCTCCTTGCTCCTTCCCTTCCCCACAAAGAATTCTTACATAAAAAGTGATGTGTTGATGGAGAGGGAGTCTGGAGACTTGAATGTATGTCCTGGCTTTGTCCTTACCTTCTATCATTCTTAGTTTCCCCTCCTCTAAAACTGAAAAGTAAAATGCAATCTACCACCTCTGAAATGGTTAAAACCATAAGTTTTGAGTAAGGGAGACTACTTATTAACCCTTGTTGTGCCATTTGCTTCCTGTTCTCTGAGCCTCAGTTTCACCTTCTGTAAAGTGGGCTTAGTCATACCTACTTCACATTGTTACAAAAACTCATTAAAATAATACCTATAAATCAGCACACAGTAAGTCCTCAATAAATGCTAAATAACACTACCAATAATGCGATAGCATGGTGGATAATGATTATTTTCATTTACGACTAAAATACAGGAGAATCAGAAAGGTTGGAGGACTTCTTTCAAGTATCACTAATTTTTTTTCAACCTCCCCATGTGATTCTTTGAGAAACTCTGTCCTAGAAAAACTTCCCCACAAGTGCCCAAAAATCATACAAGAATTTTGCAGCAGTGCTGTCTGTAATGGAGAAAGACTGGAAATAATCCAAATGCCTGTCAACAGGTGAGCAACAAATTATAAATGGAATACTGCACAGCAATGTAAAATTAATAAACCAGAACTATGTGTATCAACATGAACATCTCTAGAATATAATTCTGAACAAGAAAAAAAAATGCAGACAGGCAAGTGGAGTATTTATTACCTGTAAAAACATGCAGAACATCATTATATGTAATTTAGGGACACATACATATAGATGTAAAAGGGGATTGCTTGAGCCCAAGGGTTTGAGGTTGCTATGAGCTATGGCACCACAGTATTCTATCCAGGGTGGCAGAGTGAGACTGTCTAAAAAAATAAATAAATAAAACAGTTATTTAACAAGAAAAAGGCATTGATCATTGGTATTTTCTTTTCTTTTCTTTTTTTGAGATAGTCTCACTATGTTGCCCTTGGTAGAGTGCCATAGCATCATAGCTCACAGCAACCTCAAAATTTTGGGCTTAAGAGATTCTCTTGCCTCAGTCTCCCAGTAGCTGGGACTACAGGCACCTGCCACAGCACCTAGCCATTACTATTATTTTGTTGTTGTTGTTGTAGTCATCATTGTGTTTAGCAGGCCCGATCCCAGTTTGAATCCACCAGCTCTGGTGCGTGTGACCAGCACCCTAACCACTGAGCCACGGGTGCCAAGCCTGATGCTTAATTTCTTGAAAAGTTAAAAAGTATCACTTCTCTAAATCATTTTCTCTAAAAACAACACTTACAGCTCGGCGCCTGTGGCTCAAGCGGCTAAGACGCCAGCCACATACACCTAAGGTGGCGGGTTCGAATCCAGCCCGGACCCACCAAACAACAATAATGGCTGCAACCAAAAAAAAATAGCCGGGCATTGTGGCAGGCGCCTGTGGTCCCAGCTACTTGGGAGGCGGAGGCAGGAGACTCGCTTGAGCCCAGGAGTTGGAGGTTGCTGTGAACAGTGAAGCCAGGGCACTCTACCCAGGGGGACAGCTTGAGGCTCTGTCTCAAAAAAAAAAAACAACACTTATTTGCATGTCCGAGTTCTCAAAGATCAGGGAAAATCAACCTGATACTCTTATGACATGAGAAATATCCCAAGGCCAGAGCACAACCTTCAGCCCAGGTACACTCACACAGGGTCCCCAAAACCTTCTTTTAAAGCTGCATTGGAAACTGGGCCTGACCCCACTGGGTGTGTCTAATAAGAAGGGAGATGCTGCTCTGTTCTCCCTTCCTCTGCAGTAGCATTAAGTTAGAAGGAGAAAAACGAATCCAGGCAGGTAAGATGGTGGGAGAGGGGAGGTGAAAGGAACCCAGGAGTAAGAGAAGCAAGAACAGGTACGGTGTATTTTCTTTTTAATGAAATCAAGTCATTCTGGAGGCAACCCAATACAATATAGCCTAGAGTTGCAGAGTTTTGTTTTTCCTAAGCAATAAAATCTGACTCTGCCAGCAAGAAGCGCTTGACTGCTGTTCCTTAAAAATGCAAAAGGTTTTCTGTGTTTTGTTTTGTTTTGCATAATGGACACATTTCCCATGCAGTCACTTTTTAGGTTCTTTGTCATGTGTCAAGGTAAGCTTTTAGAAAACTCCTCCATGGGCCACAGGGAGGCAATTTCCACCTAATAGAGAATGCTTAAGATGGAGAAAGCCAACTTTTCAATATTGCTTCAGGGACCCTATTTTGTGCATTCAACACAGCTGAATGCAGACAAAGTCAAGAAAAAAAAAATTGAGTGTAATCTCCTGACAAGACTGAATGAGGCAAGCGATGCTAGGAGAGTTACTGCCCCCTGGTGTCCAAAAACAGTGGTGGGCGCATTTGCAGGGATAGTCATCTGCGGTGCTGCCTGTGTTCACTGTCATCTTTCCCTGCCCTTCTAAAAAGCCTAAAACCGCGATAACAATCTGGCAGCCCTCAATAGCCAGCAGACAGACTTGCCAACTGTTTAAAAATCTGGAGATACTGCTTAAAAATCTAGGCCTCACGTTTCTTTTGAAAAATTGGAAAATCTGTCAGTTTGGGGACTGCATCTCAGCATAATAAATGTGAGTTACAGCTGAGAAGCTGCTGCCCGCTTTGAACAAGCCATGTGCTTTCAAATTCGCCACCCTCCTCACCTCTTCCTATTGTCTCATGCCTAGGCCTATGTTACAGGTTTCCCTAAACTGGAATCAGAATGAGACCTACCCAAGGTGCAATGGAGTTTCTCCCCAGCAGTTCTGACATTTTTTTCTGTGAACAACAAATAAAGCAGCAATGTCTTGGTGGCTTCTAGAAATAATTGCAACATATAAATGCTTGATATTTAGCAAGCATTTGCTCTGTGCCAGACCTCACCCTCACACAAAACCTTAAGAAGAGACACTGTTATCACATTATTCCCAGTTTACAGAAAAGCAAATGGGGGTTCAGGAAGATCAGGT